TGCATAGTGGTTCAGCCATATGGGCCAAAGTGTACCTTGATAGAGGACATGGAAATCCTCCCAGTGTCACCGGCAGTCCTCCCCTGCTCGGCTGTCATCACATCATTGTGAAAAGGTGGGTCTGGCAGCACGCAGAACGTAGGTATGCCAATCAGGCCGACCCTACACCTGCCTGCCGTTGCTGCAGCTGCAAACTCTGTGGTAGTGGCTGCCACTGCAGCAAAGCCAGCCTTGGAGAATATTTTCCTGGTGATGGGGACATTGGTGTATAGGGGGAATGGCGCCAGAATCTTCCCACCACTTCAGTTCCAAAGAATTTCATGCTCAATTTCCTGCCCACGTTTGGAAGATTCAGAATCTCTCTTGCCGCGAGGCTAATGTGCAGAGATCGACAATAGACCCCCGGTACCCAAGAGGTCACCACTCTGATTTGCGGACTGGACTGGTGACACGTCACATGGGCGGAAGAGATTTCCCTCGTATCTGCCGTGCCAATGTTGGTCACCACCATGCACCGTCTCCCTCCCCAGCCAGGGCTAAAGTGCACAGTGCTTCAGCCATGTGGGCAAAAGTGTACTTGGTTAGCAAAGCCTGAAATCTCCCTTTTCTCAGCAACTGTCAGCCCCTGCTCGGCTGTCATCACAGTGCTGAGAAAAGGTGTGAATAGCAGCACACGAAGCATAGGTCTGCCAACCAGGTACGGACCCCATACTTGCCGGCCGTTGCTGCAGCTGCAAAATCGGTGGCAGTGGCTGCCTCTGCAGCAAATCCAGCCTTGGAAAAGATTCCCCTGGTGATGGAGACATCGGCGCAGCGGGGGAATCGCCGGATCTCCCCACGAATTCCACCCCGAATGGATCTCGAGTCAAATCTGTGCTGGTGCATATGCTCCCTCCTCACACGAAGCTTCCTATGGGACCATCACGAGTTATGAACCACGGCAATGGGCTTCCATTCTTCCTGCCACAGATCCCCACACTCGACCCACTGCTGCCACCTCCCTTGGTCCCGGACGCACCTGTCTCTCCTGGGTGAACTTTCCCCTGTCCACATTTCCTCCTAGGACGCAGCCACCGCCACTGGTGCCATGCCAGCCTCCTTGTGGACGGGCAGGCTGAAGCTGTAGTGGAGAGGATGGAGCTTGTGGCTATCGCAGGCTCAGGAGGAGGCCAGCAAGTTCCTCATGAGCTCCCGCATGCTTGTGGAGCACAAAGTCTGTTGAGGGCGCTTTCTGCTTGCGTTTCAAGGAGGTGCGTGTGCTGGCGGAGTTTCACTGCAGTTGCATTGCATTATGCTGGAGGGATGGCTGCAACTCTGCTGCTGTGGGGTTGGGGGAAATTTGGTGGAGACGACCCAGATGACAAGCTTGGGTCCCCCCACCTGACACGTGAGCTGACACTGGTGAGTAGCATTGAGTTCGAGTAGGAGCACATATGGTCTGCAGTCACTGTATTCAAAAGGATATTCTTGCTCGTTCCTACCTCACAGCCACTGGAAGGAGCACTACATAAGGATAAGGCAATGAAAGTTTTCTACTTTATGTGAATGTGGTGGTAAAATGCAAGATCCACATACATCTGGCAGCAAACTGGCACATTCATGCGGATTTGACAGATTGTGGCAAGGCATACAAGCTCGTTCTGGCTCGATTGGTTTGCGTATCATAGATGAGCCACAGGCCTAATTAGCTGCCCACTCATCTCATCGGCCAGTCAGCTCGTTGTGCAATGGAACGACTAAGCCGGTTATAGGCCTATGCTCAAACCCACTATTTGTAGGAGCCTTGCATTTGTGAGTCATTTCCAACAGCTCCAAATGCTCATATGGCCGAGCTTGGACCCTCTAGCCATGATGTAGTTCAAATTGAATGGCGTGGGACAGCGTGGTTGGGCCAGCCTGTTTGGTACACGTTCCAAACTGCTCTTTATGCATGTATCGCTTGTCGATCTCAGCCTCGCAATTCCAAGCCCGGCCTGTTGGGTCAGCTTGCTGCAGAAAATTAATGTACAATGACTAGTTGTATCGTGGCCTGAGCCCACCGCCTTGCTGCAGATCTCTGGCAAACTTGCTGTAGATCCAAACTACCATAGGCTCCCCCCCCCCCAGGCCCTGGGTTAGCGGGCTAGCTCGACCCAGCGCCAGCCCGTGGTCATGCCTAGCATGTATGCTCGTTCTCAAACCAAGTTGACTTGGTGTCGCCATCGCAGTCCTTCTAATTTCTGAACATGTGCGACGTCACGTTGGCTCTCTTTCCTATTCCCTTCACGATACTCACAATGACTCGAGGTTGCTCAGGCTACCGATGGTGGATGGAATAGACCCACTCAGAGAATTGTCGTAAAGAGACCTAATGATACAACATATGAAGGGTGTATGGGCGCACGGGAACATAGAATACAGCAAGAAAACAATACCTCAATTCATTGACACATGAGTATGGCTGCATATGTATAAGGCGGATACGAGCAAGCCATTGCTACAGAGCGCATGAAAAGGGTGCCATGAATCTAATAAAAAAAATAGAGCTGAACTAAAATGTAGGAGAGGGATGAGTGAACATGACATGCTGATATGTGATTTGTGATATAAGCTACCTATTCTAGAAGGTGCTTGATTGTGAGCACAACACAAAGAAGCTGCTGAATTTTCCCATCAACATTATTCCACAACGCTGCAAGAAACAATGGTGAATGATGTGCCGGGGTAGCCGAACGTTATCATTTTGACACTAGATGTTTAATTGACAGATTGACCAACCCTTTATATAATTGTCATTGTCCAAAAAATGAACTCTGGAGGCTCTGTTAGGGGGCCTCATAACCTTGCCCATGTATCTTACCGCCTGGACATTTCGGGACCATATAGTGAGGCTAATGTGGAGAGATTCGCAGCAAATCCTGCTCACCACTGTGAGTGGCGAGATGGACCGGCTCACAACAGTGACAGGTCGTTGTGGGCACACAGGAGGAATGAGTGCATTCTCTACGGAATCAAACAAGCCCCGCGGCTGTGGCAACAGCACCTACACACTCGCCTCACTCGCATCGGATTCCGTCAACTGCCTCACGACCAAGGAATGTACCGACTCACCAAAGACGCAGACTACATTCTGCTGATCGTCTACGTCGACGATTTACTCTACATCGGTTCTACTGACGACATAACTACCTGGTTCGAAGGGGAGCTGAAGAGGGACCTCACACTCACGGTCTCCTCTACCGTCATTCAGTATCTCGGACTCAACATCCGCGAAGAAGAGAACGCGATCTACCTCAGCGCCGAAAAGTATGCCGACACTATCGCCAAACGCTTCGCGCTCACACCTGCTACTATCTCCACGCCAAACCCCTACACGGCAGGGAACGACAAGGGAAGCTCCGCTTTACTCAAAACCGCCGGAATACGCGACTACCAGCGAAAGCTGGGCTGCCTCCTCTTCGCAGCCGTCACCTGCCGCCCAGATCTGTCCTACTCCGCAAGTCAACTTGCTACCTATCTCAAAAGGCCCGAAACAGAACACCTGGCGGAACTCGACCGCGCTCTTCACTATTTTGTGAGCACCTCAACGATCGGCCTGACGTACTACAAGAACACAACTACGCCGACGAAACTAATCGGCTACGTCGACGCCGATCACGCCGGCGACTCAGACAACAGGCGCTCCCGCACTGGCTACATCTACCGCCTCGAACCTATCGGACCTATCTCCTGGCAATCGAGCAAGCAGGAACTAATTGCTCTCTCTTCAGTTGAAGCAGAATGTATCGCACTCTGCTCAGCCACCAAGGAAGGACTCTACCTTCGCGAGCTGCTGGAAGAAGCGAAGTTAGCCGAGTTACCCAACTTCACTCTGTTCTGCGACAACCAATATGCGATTCGTATCGCCAACAAGAGCGGATTCGCGAACAGAACGAAGCATATCGCCCTGCGATATTTCTTTGTGAAGGACGAGATCGAGAAAGGGAAACTCAAACTATCCTACTGTCCCACGTCCAAGATGGCAGCTGACTACTTGACCAAGAAGCTCGGAAAACAGAAGTTCGAGTACTGCATGCTGCTGACTGGACAAAGCCATGTCACCATCAGCGACACTCCAGAAGCGAAGGGGAGTGTTGGGAACAAACAATATTAAGCGCCTCTGTCGTGTCGAAACACCAAGGCACAAGCGAAGCAGAGCATATCGAGGCACCAACGAGTCAACCCTCGGAGTTTGATGTAACCACTGGAGGTTACGCGAAAGTCAAAGGTCAGCGACCTTTGACCTAACAAATGCAGCGCGACAGCAAGGACACACAACTGACTCGACATTGAGCAGTTGCCCGAGTCGCACTATATCGAACCGCAACAGTAAAACAGTTACAATTATGTCTCTTCATATTCTCTGTACTCATATATATATTCCTGTATCTCTTTGCATTAATCAACTTACTTTGCTCTCACATACTAGCGCAAGGTGGTTCAAAGACTTTTATCAATACGCTTCCGCTATTACATCTTTTACCCAAGACTTTAACTCTACTAAAAGATCCTAGGGCGTTCAGCCCAACAGCAGGGACCACCAAGTCAGAAGCCTGTAATCACCCTGAAATCAGGGTAATTACCCTGATATCGTCAGCCCTGGCTCAGGGAGAGTATTGTATTGTGGCTGCAAATACTGTATGCTTGTACTGTATGCTCGCAAGATATTTGAGATTGTTGTATAGGTCATTGTCAAGTGAGTCCGTTGTTGCAGAAGGTTAGAAAATTTCGTGCCAACGAATAATTGTGTGATGCGTGATGGACATGATGTACACTCCGAAACCTGACACAAAGAACCAGCAGACTGCTGTTAAGCAGTGGAATGATGTATGACACCCGGAAATCAGTGTGGGTGAACATGCTGTCACTCTTGGGGAGCAGAAGCAGCAGACTTCCATTCTACAGCATCGGGGCAATCACAAATCCCCATCGTTGCTTGAAGGGAGCTCCTCGTTATTGCGGAGGGCGAGGACGATGAAGGCTCAGAGGAGGCGGAGCACACTGCCTGCCAGAGAAAATGTCAAGTGCCCAGAGGGAGACGTGATAATAGTGGTCATCTTGGCCTTGCGCCTGCTGAATAGGCCCTGCAAAGAGGGAGAGCAGGTAAGGTGGGGAAGGTAGGGAACGCAGGGAAGGGAAGGAGGGAGGGGAATGTAGGGAAGGCCAGGGAGGGAAGAGAAAGCAGGGAAAGGAAGATAGGGAAGGGAAAGTAGGAAAGGGAAGGAAAAGAAAGGGAGGGAAGGCCACGAAGATGCAGGCTGATAACTGGCAGAGCGCACTGCCTGGAAATTCGTCTAGTCCAGCAGAGCCAATCCATTGTTTTTAGACCACAGTTCTCTGTTACAAGGGTGGCCAAATTAGTCTTTTGCCCACCCCAACAGGACCAGTTGGAGTTTAACAACACACTCGGGGCAATGCTGTTAACAGCCCACCATCCACCTCCCACAATCCACCACGCATTATCCACCATCCACCATGCACAATCCACCATCCACCATCCAGCGTCCACCATCCACCCCCTTACTCACCTCACCACCATGGCAGCATAGAGGGCGGGAAAGGAAGTAGGGCAGATGGACAGCTACACACAGTAATTATCCCCCCCATCTCCCGCCCCCCTTTCCTCCCACCATTTTCCTATTCCCCACCACACACGCTCCCTTATCCGCCATCTCACCGGCACTGCCTTGTCTTCACCCCACTCCCCCCCTCTTCTTACAACGCACCCACAAGAGGGCATGAAAGACAGGAAACGAGTGGCAGGGCCGTGGAAGAGGTGCAGGTGGGGAATGTGCAGGTGGGGTGACGCTTCGAGGGGATGGGGTGGGGGTGGGTGCGATGGGGGAGGAGGAAGGGAGAAGCAAAGAGCATGGGGAAAGCAAGAAGTGTAGGGCGGACCATCATGCATCGTTGCTTGAGTGTTGTCCTAGTCGTTATCTCGACCAATCCCACGACGATGGGGTCACTGCTGGAGAGCAGTCGGGCGACACCAAGGTCCATCGCAGGCCAGTTGTGTTCCGCTACGAGGGCCTCACTGCCAGGGAACAGCACGCAAAGTACGCGCACACCTAGGGCGCGTGATGTGCTCTGCTCTGCTGCGGTCTCGTCAGCAAGCTCTTGCTGGGTGGGTGGTATAGTCCAGCCCTGTTGACCTGTGGCCCATGGCCCTATGCCCGTGATCTGCGCGTACATTGACTTGCGCTAGCCACTGGATCCCACTGCCTCCTCGCCAGCTGACTCCTCCCGGCAGGATCAGGGCATGGGGGAGGAAGACGGTGGGGGAGAGGCGTGTGGCCAAGGCGTGAGAGGGGGAGGTGTTGGAAGGAAGCGTGGAGGGGAGGCACAGGCGGGAGGCGTGGGGGAAAAGGGGTTGGGGAGCGGGTTGGGCGAGAGGTTTGGGGGAGAGGCTTGGGAAAGAGGTTTAGGGAAGTGTTGGGAGAGAGGCGTGGCAGAGAGGGGTAAGGGTGGGGCGTGTGGAGAGTGGGGGAGAGGTGCGGGAAAGCAGGGCAGGGGAGACGGGTGGGTAGAGGCCGTTGGGGCAAGCGGGTGGGGGAGAGAGATGGGGGAGAGGTGTGGGGGAGAGGGTTGGGGGAGAGGGGTGAGGGAGAGGGGTGGGGGAGAGGGTTGGGGAAGAGGGGTGAGGGAGGGTGGTGGGGAGATGGGTGCAGAGAAAAAATGGGCATTGTGGCTTGAAAAAATAACCAATCTTTGCGTCACATACCTCACCCTTTTTGTCCGAGCCTTCACCTACCCTCATCTCCCTTCAACCCCCCAATCTCCTCTTAAGCCTCCCATATCCCCATTATCCCATCGCCCCCCTCACCCATGGGCGCAGCCACTCGTGCATGCCCTGCGCCATCACCCCTCACCGCTCATCCCCAAATCCCCTCCTCTCCTCTTCCCCCCCTCTCTTCTCACTCACTCACCAGCAGGCGCGACCACTCACACATGTCCTGGGCCAGCTTGCGCAGCACCACGCGGTCTGCTACTGCTGGCATGCGGCTCTCACACACCTGGCGGGGGGAAAAAACGGGGAGAAGGGGGAGGGGGGACAAGTATGGATCAAGCACACTCATGCATTTGGCATGAAGCCAGACCGCATTGGAACAAGAGAAAGCCCTGGAGGAGCAAGGAGATTAGAAGAGGAGTAAGGAGAGTAGAAGAGGAGCAATGAGAGTAGAAGAGGAGCAATGAGAGTAGAAGAGGAGCAATGAGAGTAGAAGTGGAGCAATGAGAGTAGAAGAGGAGCAATGAGAGTAGAAGAGGAGCAAGGAGAGTAGAAGAGGAGCAAGGAGAGTAGAAGAGGAGAAACGACAGTAGAATAGGAGCAAGGAGAGTAGAAGAGGAGCAAGGAGAGTAGAAGAGGAGCAAGGAGAGTAGAAGAGGAGCAAGGAGAGTAGAAGAGGAGCAAGGAGAGTAAAAGAGCAGCAAGGAGAGTAGAAGAGGAGCAAGGAGAGTAGAAGAGGAGCAAGGAGAGTAGAAGAGGAGCAAGGAGAGTAGAAGAGGAGCAAGGAGAGTAGAAGAGGAGCAAGGAGAGTAGAAGAGGAGCAAGGAGAGTAGAAGAGGAGCAAGGAGAGTAGAAGAGGAGGAAGGAGAGTAGAAGAGGAGGAAGGAGAGTAGAACTTAGGAAAGGGAATATGTAAAAAAAAAAGATCGGCAAGGTCGCATCAGAGTGGCGCAGCGGAAGCGTGGTGGGCCCATAACCCACAGGTCCGAGGATCGAAACCTCGCTCTGATAAGGCTCTCACCCCCAACGGGGCTGTTTTGTTTATGCTAAAATGTATTTGTTCTTCAGTTCCCAGAACAGAATCGTGGTGCGAGGATGGCTGTAAGGTTGTGATGCACACCACGCATGTACAACCACCATGGATCTCCCACCCACGCACTCTATCCTCGAGTTCTGATATTGGGAACCCTCCAAAACTTCTGCCCATTCATTCCTTCAAAAGCATTATATATCCTACTACACTGCATATCTTCTTTTTTTTCCCTACATACCCATCCGTTACAGGTGAAGGAGGTGTTTTCTCTCCCATGTATTCCTGTAGGCGCCAGTAGAAGGTAGCCAGAAAGGCCGAGGCCGCATGGGTGAGTTTTTATATTGTAGAACATTCATACACACACGCATGCAGAAATGAATACCAAGATTGAAGGCGACCCATGAGGAGGAAAGGACTGCATAGGGTAGTAGTGTGAAGTCACACACGAGTCGGAATGAACCCTATGCTCCTTCATGGTTCATTCCGACTCACGAGCCGTGAAGGACACAAACAAGGGGATGGGAAAGTTGCTGACAGAGTGAAAAGGAACCTCAAGAACAGCGAGCGAACCAGAGAGAGGAACCAGAGGAGTCAGGCAAGGGAGGAGATGATCAGGTTGGAGAGGTACACAGAGGGGCTGGTACAAAGGTGATGTTGTACATCAGCCACATGAAGCGAGCTGAACGAGCAGAGCAGCCAGAAGGTCCCAGGAACAGCGATGGTATCAGAAAATGGTTTCTGAGAAGGGAATCGTCGTGCAAGAGAAAGGAGGTGAGAGAAAAATAAAAGTAGCAAGCAAAGACAAAGGGGTCTTATCTGTTGAAGTTTCTCCAAACAAAAAAAACCTTCATTGTATAAGCAGAATTCGACGCTCCCATCACACCTTTACATCAATGCAAGTAGGTAGGTGAGGGTTGCAAAACGCGGCAGTGAGGGATAGGCCAGAAGGGATCCCAAGAGTAGGAAGGGAGCAAGATACAAGGCTGCACGAGGATGCGGACCAGGAATGACGACGAGTCAAAGATCTCAGCTCAGCGTGGCATGAAATATGCAACCTCACCCACCGGATACACATCCTCACACTGGATAGAACCGAATCCATGATTGGTTGCTTCCGTGGCTTGTTTCTCCTTACCACAGCCAGGCAGGGTGAGGGAAGACGGAGTGAGCACACCACGCGGGATCTGAAATTATAGTGCAAGGGAGAAGACAAATGGTGGTGAGTCCTATACTATGAGTGAACAAAGGGGCTCGTGGCCTGGCCGTTTGAGGTGCACTTTGAGTAGGAAGATTCCTGAAGTAGACTCGCACGCAACTCGGGTCAGCTTGAGACCATGGGGCTGATAGAAAACCAGAGCATCTCGGGCTGTGCTGGTTTTCTACTACACACTTTCCAAGCCAAATCGCATGCATTCAAGACCTCAGTTTCGAAGATTTTCCGTTGGTTGAGGTTGGCGAGGAGCGTAAGACATGCTAAATCCATCCCCTGACCTGGAGGACTACCCCCGGGGGGAGTTTAGAACGAGGTGGCTCATGAGTCGCAAGGCTGGGGCGAGCCTGGCAGCTTGGTGAGAGCCTCCTTGGCCCGGGCATTAGATTCTTACCAGTTTAAACCACAAGCAAATGCACTCCTCAAATGTGAGTGGAACGCATTTGCAGGTCGAGTCAACGTTGATTTGCGAGTTGATTCGAGCCGGATAGCCGAGTTCGGTAGAATCGAAATTTGACTCGAATCGGGTCAAGGTTGGTCGACTCGTTTTGGCACATTGGCCCGATATGACAAAAAGTACGAGCAAAACGATTTGTAGGCTGCGAGCCAGGCTTGCAAGGCTTGCAATGCGGAAGGCCTACTGGGACAGCTATAGGATGGCTTACCTCTTCTCGATGTGCCCCCATGCCGCCCTGCCCCATGCCGCCTTGCCCCATGCCCCCCTGCCCCATGCCGCCCTGCCCCATGCCGCCCTGCCCCATGCCGCCGTGCCACATGCTACCTTGTCGATTGAGTGCCACGCTGCCCTGTCTCTGCAGCACACGCTGCTGCTGCTGCTGTCAAGGCTGCGCCGCCCGATCGCCACACTACACTGATGCTGTGACTGCAATCCACGCTGCTGCCCACCATGCCACCACCACCGCCATTATGGGCAGTCGCGGTGCTGCCATGCTGCGCGCACTGGGGGAAGCCCAGGGAAGAAGAGGTGGGTGTGGGCATGATCACGCCCGTGAGAATGGCATCCGTGAGTGCTGCATCAGCTGCCAGCAGCCGTGCTCGCCCCTCCTCCATGCTCGCGCTCCTCCCAATCATGCTGCCTCTGCTTCCCGTGCTTCCCGTGCTGCCTATGCTGCCTGTTCTTGTTGCTGGCCGCCACAATTCCTCCATGCCTGGGTGCCCCTGTCCCCTTCTCCCCCCCCCCCCCCCCTCCTTCGGCCTTGTGCCTGCGCGCATGTCTGTATTGATCAAACTGCCGCTCATGCTCCCTCCCGCCCCTTCTCCCCCACCTTCTCCCCCCCCTCTTCCCTCTCCCCCCCCTCTTCCCTCTCCCCTCCCTCCCATTCTCCTGCCCATGCTGCCCTCGAGTCGTCTCCCAGGGGCAGTAGTGTAGGGGAGGCGCGCAAAAGAGGAGCTAATGCTGCTAGTGCGAGGCGTGCGGAGGAGAGGCTGAGGCAACGGGCCTGACACAGGCAGTGGGGGGAGAAAGAGGGGAGCCAAGGCGCTGGTGGGACGAATGTGAGAAGCAGAGAAGAAAGTGGTGCTGCGGATACTGCAGACACGTGGTGTCATATGGCATTGCGTGGGGGACAGCCACAGCAGTCGCACATGCGCGAAACACACCTAAGGAGCAGGGGAAGAGCGACATCTAAAGCAACGTGCTGGACACTCCCCCCCCCCCCCCCCCCCCCCCTCCCCCAACCATCTGCACCACCACGGCCGCCAGTATCCGCGTCCCCTCTGCTGCTCTTGACTCCTCATTCCTCCTCCCTTTCCTCGCCCGCTCCCTCTGCTGCCCCCTCCCATGCTCGCTGCCTCTCACTCCTCCATCTGCCTGCCCCCACTTCACCCTGCTGCTCCACTGCACCCGCCGCCAGTCTACCTGCGCTGCCCGCGGCGCTTGCGTCGCCCAGGCACGGGCCCAAGAAGGAGTAGAAGGCGGGCACGGGTGCTGCAGGGCTCACTTGGGCGGGCGGCGGCACGGAGTGGTGCGACAGGGAGAGCAAGGGGTAGGAGGGGGGATATGGGGAAACAAGGAGGGAGGGGAAGCGGGAAGGAAGGGCAAGAAAAGGGGGGTTTGGGGGGGAAGAGAAGGAAGGTGAGATTAGGGCAGTGGGGGCGGAGAGAGGGGTTGGGAGGTGCAGACACGAGTGTGGCTGCCCCTCTCCTTGCGCTCTTTTCTTCCCCCTCCCCCTCATCCTTCCCCTCATCTTCCCCCTTCCCCTCCCCTCCCTCTCCCTCCTCCCCACTGTCCACGCCCAGTGCTGCCAGCCACCGTAGCGCCACCGCCGCCGCCACCTCCCGTGCCCACTCGCCCTCCCCCTCGCTCGAACAAGTTGCCAAGGGACAAGGAGCGGATGGGGGAGTTACCCACTGGATATACTTGAGGCGCAGGGGAAGCACTCAACCATACAAATAAGCCCCACAGGCGTTGCACGAATAGAGCAGGACGGGGAGCGAAGTGGGTGCCGTGGGCACGCGACAGGGACTGATGCTGCGAGCAACGCGGACGAGAATAGAGCAGGATGGGAAGCAGGGTGAGTAAAGTGGTTGGTGAGACGGAATGGTTTAAGAGCAACATAGAGCACGGATCTAGGGTAACGTCTTTATGCACGGCGATTGCAATGGGGAGCAGAATGCGGGACGCGGGGAGGCGAGGGGCTTTCGAGGCGCCAAAAGAAGCGCGAAGAGAGCGGGATGGGGAACGGAGTGAGTGGTGCGGTGCGGATCGACCTACGTGCACACTGAATCCCCCTCGTTCCCTCCTCTCCCCTCCAACAATGGTGATTTCCCATCCTACCTGCAGCAAGGTTTTTGTCGGACCAATCCACTCGCACATCGATTGTCGTCCCCTCTTTCCCCCTTGCGTGCAAGTCTGCGCCTCAATGGATCAACCTGCGAGCAGTTATCTCCTAATGCGAGCAATAGAGGGACCCCAGTTCAAGTGAGTGAACTCAGTGCAATAGACCCCACTGCGACTGCGACTTGCCTCAGCGACAGACCCCACCCCAGTGAGTCAGACCTCAGTGCGACAAACGGCAGTGCGACAAACTTTAGTGTGACAGACGGCAGTGCGACAAACTTTAGTGTGACAGACGTCACAGATCCAGCGCGCTGCCTTGTGTGGAGCGACAGTCGCATCGTCATGCCCAAGTTCTTCCAATGAACAGCACAAAAACAAGACAAAGAGGGTGACCACTAGGCAATTAATAATACGTTATCAGAGTAATCGCTGTGCTTTGATGTGACGTCGCACTGTGAAGTGCAAAACAATACTGATACAAAAAAAATAGTGTAACATGGACGCTGATACGGTTTCCTCAGCAAACCCATTACACCACAAACGAGCTCGTGCTCAGAAGGATTCGAACCTGCGCGGGCAGAGCCCAACAGATTTCTAGTCTGTCCCGATAACCACTCCGGCAGCACATATCTGTGCTCCCCACAACTGGACCATACTCCCCTCACCAGCCCATCTCCTTCTCCTTTTGCTCAACCCTGGGAACCCAGTAGCCCTGCCTAACCTCGCCTCATCTGCTCGTCCTCGAAAACTGACGGCATGCAACAAGCTTGCTAGTGGTGACTTGCTGGTGAACCATCCTTAGACTACGTTCCTCTCACCACCTACCACCTTCTCCCGCTGCTCTACCCTGAGATAGGACATGACCACAAGGAAAACAGCAGGCCCACCTAGCCTTGCCTCACCCGTAATCTGTTCGTGACCCACTATTGACTAACAAGTTTCAAACAGCCCAGCCCACCACCCCTCACTCACTCCCGAACGCACCTCCTCCTCCCTCTGCTCGTCACTCCTAAAAACCGCCACGGGGCACCCAGCCGCCCCTCCCACCAGCTTCGCCTCACCCGTGATCTACGAGTGACACAGAAGCATCATACAGCCCAGCCCACCACCCCTCGCTCACTTCGGACGCACCTCCTCCTCCCTCTGCCCGGCCATCCTCAAAAACCGCCACGGGGAACCCAGCAGCCGGGCCTCACCCAGCTTCGCCTGCAGCCTCCCGTGCAGCTCTGCCATGGCAGCAACCTCTTCTTGGGTGAGCAGTGCGCCCGTGCCGTGGGTATGGGGGAGTCCGTGGGGCAGAAGATGGCGTGGGAGAAGCAGGTGCGGGGCTGAAAGGGGGAGGGTGAGAGGAGCGGGGGGGAGGGTAAACAACACAGTGGCTTATGAGGGGATTGTGGGAGGCAGTACCGTAGGAGCGTGGTTTCAGTAGGCCAGAAGTGGGTGTAGGAGAGGCAGGTGTGAAGCTGGTGAAGAGAGGAGTGGAGGAGGAAAGAAAAGAGGGTAAGGGTGGTGAGAGGAAGGTGCGGTGGAGCCCTGGAAGGAGTGCACTTGGAAGCCCGCGGGTTCCCTGTGAACAGTGCGCCCATGTTGCAGAGGTGGGGGATTTATGGGCCAGAAATCGGTACGCGAGAAGCAGGTACTGTGCGGAGCTGGTGGGGACACGGCAGGAAGGGATGGGGGAGGTGGGAAGGGGAGAGGAAGGGACAGCGCGTGGGCGACGGAAGTGGCAGAAGTCCGCGGGCCACACATGGAGTAGGAGGAACAGGTGCATCATAGCTGGGGGGGGTGGGAAGAGAGAGGCGGAGCGAGAGGGTATGGGGAAGGGAGGGGATAGCGCCTGGGAGAGCTGAGCGGTGTGCCCGTTGGGGCGTGTGTCTATGAGTCTGTGTAGAAAAACTAGGTGCGGAGCTGGAAAGGAAAGGGGAGAAGGGGTGAAAGAGGTCAAGGGAAAGGGAAGAAGTGGGAGGAAGTGATAGTGCCTTTGTGAGTAATGTGCTTGTGTGGTAGGGGCAGATGTCAGGGGCACACAAGTCGATGTGGAATACACATTCACGGGCATTATCCAGCCTGTTAACTCCCCCCAGGTCCCTTCCACCCATTGGTGACACCCATCGCATCACCTATGACCTCCGCCCGCCCCAGCAGCAACCCCTCCTTCACCCCCCTTCAGCCCCCCCCCCCCCTCCCCCCCCCCCCCACTCCTTTCACAAACCCCCACTCACCGTCCCCTTGGCCAACTTTCACACGAATACCCACCCCTCACCGCTCTGACCTGTGGGGTTGGCGATATATCCACCGTACCACCGCCCCGCCATCTTCAACACCAAACACATCCTCTATAGCCTCCGCCAGCCCCATCAGCAGTCCCCATTCCCCGCCCCCTCGTGAGCGCTCTCTGCAGCGCAAACGCTCACAGAGCTGGGGTGGAGAGGGGGGAAGAGAAGAAAGGAAAAGGGGCAGTGGCTAATGAGAGGGATGTGAGTGACAGTGCTGTGAGGATGCAAACCTGTGGGCCGGAAGTCCCTAAAGGAGAAGTAGGCGCAGAGATAAGGGGAAGCGGAGAAAGGCGGGGAGCAGTGCTTTGATGAGGAGGATGCGGGCAGGGAGGGAAGCGGGAGACAGTGCTAAAGAAGCGTGAATCTGTAGGTCCGTGGAGGAGGAGCAACGGAGCTTTGGGAGGGAAGGGAGAAGGGGGAAAGAGGGTCAAGGGGAAAAGGCGAAAGTGGTAGGGAACGCAGTGAATTAGCGAGAAATGTCATGTGTGGTAAGGGCAGAATTCAGGGGATCAAAATGCAGTGTGGCATACACACATGCGGTGCTGAGTGGATGAGATGGGGGGAGGTTGCAATAGGGAGTTGGTTGGGAAGACGTAATTGGAAATTTAAAAGGCGAGGAGGTTTTTGCAGGGGGGATGGGGGGATGAGATTCACTCTTGGCTGCAACCATCCTTTCAGCTCACCTATGCTGCCCATCAACTCCCTCCACTCACATCAAAGCCATCCCAAAGCCACTCACAATGACTCCTCGCCAACTCTTCACTGACTCTCAGCAACTCTCGCCGAGATAGCTATTCAACTGCCCCCTTCCCACCGCCACCCACGAGTGACCCGAGTGGTTCCTACACACATCTCCCCCGCTGCGCACCGACTTCCAACCAAGCCCCTACATGTTTCTAACCTTGTCGATTTCTAGCTTGTCAACTGCTGCCACCAAACAAGCCCCCAGGCGTCTTCTATGGCCTCTGCCAGCCCTGGAAGCACCCCCTCCCCCCCCACTCTCCCCTCCCCCCCCCCTTTCCGTCCCTTCTCCCCCCTTCCTCCACGCCCCTTCTTCCCACTCCTCTCCCCCTTTTCACCGCTTCCTCAATTGACATCCACACACGCCTCTACCCAGCAGGCCCGTCACCGACTCTCACCTTCGTCATACAAGTCCATCCGAAGCCACAAGAGAAGTTGGCGAGCTGCCATGTGAAGCTCGGGATCTGAATTGTACTTTCCCGTGTGTGATTTCGACCACAGCCTGTGGGGGAGCAGAGAAGCGGGGATTGAGGACAATATGAGCGGAAAAAAGGGGAGGGTAGAGGGTGACGGGGGGGAAGGGGGGAGAAGCAGAATGGGAGAGACAAGGCGAGTTGAATAGGGAGAGAGGAGCGCAGGGAACCAATCGCAGCGACAGTAATTGTTGCAACACGTGGATGGCAGAATGACGCCTCAACAACCTGTGCCATGTGGCATGCGACAACTGTACCTCCTGAATCTGTCCGATCTTCCCAGCACCATCATCCCTTCGCTTTTTGCTTTATGCATCATGAAATCTCCAATAACCCATATCTGTCATGTCACTGGTAAATATCTTTAATGTAAGCACCGGACAAAACGTCTTGCTGCTGCGACGCCATGCGGGGAATACCCAGCGAAACACAGAGAGCTGCAGCTAGCACCCGCGCCCTCCCCTGCATGCATCCACGAGTCAGTGGCGTAATCCCCTTGGCGGAACATCAAGTTCACCACCTGCCGATGCACACCACTTGTGCTCCCACCATCCATGGCAATCGCAGCCCTGCTGCCGCTGTTCCTGCCGCCATTGCTGCCGATGCCGCCTGCCTTTCTGTGCGGGTCTGCCTCGTGCTCCACTTGCTGCATGACCCAGCGAGGCCACACCATGATGACCCCCTTCACCCCTGCATATCAGATCTGAAAGGCCGATGGCGCCCGCAGCAATGCCCTCCCCCGCTCCACCGCGCCTCCCTTCTTCCTTTTTGCCCCACTGCTGCCAGCCCCACTCCCACTCCAACTCTCCTTCTCATTCGCACTCCCACCCTCCTTCGTGTTCCCACTCCCACTCACCTTCTCATGCCCACTCCGAATCTCCTCATTCCCGCTACCACCCTCCTTCTCATTCCCACTACCACCCTCTGCAGCAGCACCCCCAACATCACCTCCACAGCTTCCCCCACTCTCACCACCACCCGCATCACCCTCCCCCGCACGCATCCCAGAACCAGCGTCGCTCCACCCAGCACCCACGGGCCTGTCAAGGTAAGGAGCAATGGCATCTGCCAGGGCCTTGCCCGCCTCTGGAGACACGGCACCCACTCCGTCCGTGAAGCACAAGTTGCCGCGCGTGACATCGGGGATCATGCGCACGTGGGCACGGGGGAGGGGCAGCGAGGTGAAGCGTGCAGAGAAGCACTGCCCCATGCGTGCCGCACACTTGGCCACGTTGCGGATGGCGGAGAAGGTGCCCATCCACGCCTGGTGGTGTTGCTCCCCCCTCTCACTCCCCCACCCCCCCTCTCGCCCACACCGGTTCGCCACAGAAACCCACTCACACCAGCATCCACAAGCATGCACCCACATGCAGAGAGAAAGCAGGTGGTGAGGGAGATTCAGAGAAGAGACACGCGGGTGAAAGGCAGAGAGAGGGGTGCGCTCGTGGTGGCAATGTGGGAAGGAGAAGGCACGGTGCTGAAGCAGTTGGAACGCCCAAGGCTGGGATGACATGCGCCATGCCCCAGGCAGCCTCCCTCCTCCCTAATGGCCCCTACAGCAACGCCAGGGCATGATGGCTGATCCTACCCACAGCGAAGCAGTCCCTCTGTGCAGTGCAGTGCAGTGCAGTGCAGTGTAGTGCAGTGCAGTGCAGAACCCACCTGCACGGAGGCAACGGTGAGGCTGAGCGCATCATCCTCTGCCAGGAACCACGCTGACTTCTCCCTCAGCTGCGATGCTGACGACGCCAGGAAGCGGTAGTGCCGCCCACACAGGCTAAAACCCTGGCACACAGGGCACGCAAGCAGCACAGGTGGGGCCGGGTCGAGGGGGAGAGGGGAGAGAGGAATGAGATTGAAGCTACGCAGGAAGCGGTGCACGAAGACTTGGGAAGAGTGAGGAGAAAAGTATTGGCTGGCATGAAGGCGAGGTGACGGGATTGGAAAGGAACGCAAGGTGGCTGACTGACATGAAGTCATGAACCAGTTGCCAGCACCAGGATTCTCCCCATGCAGCATGCACCATGAACCCTGCACCCATGTGCACTGGTCCCACATCACCATCGCACAACCAACTCCTGCCTGCCTCCTCGCACATGCACACAGCGGCACCACAAGCAGCCCCCAAGGCGAGTGCTGTGCCTCACCTCTTCCACGAGGCTGAGAATGCGGCGGTACACGTCGGTGTGCGCAGCAACACCCTCGCGGCGCCCAGCAGCATCTCTGAGGGCGAAGGGTGACAGGGTCTTTAGGCCCTCGTCCGTGAAGGTGACGCGCAGGAAGCGGTGCGCGTGGGGGCAGTAGTGCGTGAGCACGCGGTTGGTCAGCTCCACGCCCGGCATGCAGCACTGCGCGCCCAGCGGTGTGATGAGCAGCCGGAACACCACCACGTGGTTCGCTGGTAGCCTCCACGGCCACGTGCTGCTCTCCCCTTCGCTCGCTTCCCCTGCCTTCTCCTCCGTGTCTCGTTGTTCCTGCTGCGACTGCGGCTGCAGTTCCAACTCTCCCACAACTGACCCTTGCTGCTCTGCTCCCCTCTCACTCTGGTGCTCACGCGTCCCTTCTGGTTCCTTGGCTCGCCCCGTATCGGTGCCTCCCCGCGTCTGCAGCCTGCCGTGGTGGCGCATGGCGCGGGCGATCTGGCAGAACTTCCTGGCGGGGTCGAATTCAGGGCGGGAGAAGCGGAGGAACTCGATCAGCACCGCCACGGCAGCGGGCACAGGCTCGTACGCCAGAGTGCGGTACAGGGAGGCAGTCACAGCAGTGGGGGGGACGGTGCCTTGCTGTACCAGCGCTGTGAGCAGGTACGGCACTGGAAAGGCCAGCACAGCTGGCACTGCAGACCCGCTGCTGCCGCCACTGCTGCTGGTGGTAGTTTTGGTGTTGGTGCTGTCAGCTGGGGTGGTGACGGCACGGTGGTATTGGGGAGCCAGGACGGGTCGAGGGAGATGAAGAGGGTGAGGTGGATGGGCGGGGCGGCAGCATAGTGGGCGGTGATGGCGACGCACGGTGGATCTCCCAGGTAGCGTGCTCTGAGGTGCAGCGATGCAGTGCGCATGTGCTCTGCTATGCGCCTCACATGGATGCCATGCCGCACCGACACTGACACCTGCATCACCGACGTCGCTCCCAACACCCCTCCACTCCACACCCGCCCCTTCCACCCACTCACGCCACGGCCTCCACCGCTACCAGGCCCACTGTCCCACCGCCCCGCACCAGCACCTCCCCTTCCATCATCCCCAACGCCCACACACGCGCCTGCTTCTGCGCTTGTACAAGCGCCCGCCCTCGCCCCCGCGGGGAGGAAGTGCTCGTCAGTGGTTCGGGTCCACGGGTCGCCATCATCAGGGAACCATCTGTCGGGCTCCAGCTGCCACACGTCGTCGTCACACGCACGTGAGAACACGGCAGGCGGCACAAAGAGCAGCAGCAGCAGCGAGGAGGTGAGGCCGGGCCCGTCTGTGTCGGGGGGGGTGCCGTCCTTGGTGCCCCACAGGCGCACGTCCCGCATGCGCCACTCCAGCTTGTACTCCACTCGCTGGAACGCCAGGGGGATGGACGCCAGGGAGCCACCACAGAGCGCTGCACCTGCATCCTCCCTTGCACCCCCCTCTCCTGCCGCGCGGCCTCCCCACCCTGCACCACCCCTCCCCCGCTCACCCGCCTTTGCCTGCACCACCACCCACACGCGCCTCTCCAGAAAGTCAAACTCCACGCGGCAGCTCTCGGGCTTGGAGCGCCACGTCAGCGCCAGCTGGCCGGGCTGGTGGATGGAGCCGAAGTGCACATTGGCGTGGGAGAGCAGCCCCTCAGGCTCGCGGCGCTGCTCCATGGTGCACTGCAGTGCCAGCTGCTGCCCTTTCAGCACCAGCGCCTCCTCCCTCGCCATCACAAACTCCGCCACCTCTGCTGTGAGGAAGTCTGCGTATCCATACCCTGCCGACACCCACTCCTCCCGGTACCGCGTCCCCCCCACCACTGCTCTCTCCCCTGCGCCTGCTGCCCCCCCTGTGCTGGCTGCGCTTGCTGTGGCTCTGCCAGCGGGCAGGGCGCGGATGCGGGTGTACCCCTTGATCTTCACACGGTCCACAATCACGCCCAGTGTGTCTCGCACAAACGTCGCCACTGTCTCCGCGGACGTGTCCGGTGGAATGCAGTCGATGCGGATCTGAGCCGTCGGCCTGCGACTGCTGGGCCTTTGACCGCCGCCCCTGCCGCTGCTGCCTCTGTTGCGAACCCCGCTGTTAACAGCAACACTGCTATTACTCTTGCTGCCACTTGCGGTGGTGGGTCCAGTGGTGTTGGAGGGTAGCTGGGCAGCAGAAGCAGCAGCAATAGACGAGCCAGCATCGCTCTTCCCGCCCCCCCCCTCACCAGCACCAGCGCCACCATGCACAGCAAGCCCGGGGTTGCGCAGGGCAGCAGGCCAGGCCATGGCATGAACATCAGCAGTGAACGCCGCAGCAGCAGTGGGGCCAATGAGAGCGGCGTCCAGGTGGCTCACATGCGCGCTGCTGCCCCTGCCCGTGTTCGTGCTCGTGCTAGCAGAGCTGCTGCCCCGCGGGGAAATCATGGCGCCCACATGAGGGCCACCTGCGAACTCCACACTCGCGCTGCTCTCACTCCCTCTCCGCCACCTCCCGCTGCCGCCCTCCCTACCCCCGGAGTCATGCCTATGCTCATATCTATCCTCGTGCCTATTCTCATGCCTATTTTCATAACTATTCCCATGCCTATTCACGTACCTATTCTCGTGTCGACGCTCGTGCCCCTGCCTCTGCCGCTCTCTCGGCGCAAGCGACTCCCCGGGACCACGCCCATGGATGCTGCTGCTGGGCTCGCGGAGAAGGGCGGAGCTGGTATTTGCGCCAGCAGGACCTGCGATAGCGGGCGCCGCGCGTTGGGAAGGAAACGCGCAATCCATGCTCTCTGTGGCTGGCGCGGTTGCAGCCAGGTGACGGAAGAGACAGAGGAGAGGTGGGAGGAGTGGAAAGGGAAGAAGCGCTCGGGTTCTGTTGACATGGTCGCGATGGGTGCACGTGAGCAGTCACAGAGAGGCGACGAAGAAGAGTTGGGGTGGCACGGGGGAAGAGGAGGCGAGGGAGGAGCGAGGAGCAGGGAGAGGAATGTGGCAGGCAAGCCAGTGAATCAGTTCAAAGGGGAATTTGCTGGTCAGCAGTTGCAGCAGCAGGATGATTAGGAGAAAGAGAGCCTGACGAACGAGGCACACCAGTAGCACATTTAGCACTGGTATCTTCCCCGAACTGCTCACTTTCTCCAAGGAAGCCACCTTGATGGTTGTACCCGCCCTTAGCTCAGCTTGCTCAACGGTCACGTCGGAAAAAAACACACACACACACACACTTGTTGACCAGCAGCCATGAAACGAACTTGCTGCTTCCGATTTGGCAATTCTTGCTCCACCACCTTAACCCATCTTGACCTCTCTATGGACGATGTGCCACGCACAGCAGACAGCAGTTGGGCAGGTGGGACTGAAACAAACGGTTGAAAACAGATAAGAGAAGCTCGTCAGGAGCAAGAGTGAGAGATATGTCCATGTGTGATGCAATCCGCTCAATCCCGAAGCTATTGTTATTCAAACGACCGTCATCTGTGACGCACCCTGCAGTCTCGCCACATTCGTACGGTCGTCAGATCCACAGCTCGTCGGACCAACTGGGATTTGAGAGTATTCCGGTAATTGATGTCGGTTGCTGCAAAAATCTTCTCGAATTCGCTAAAGCCAGCCAATAGTACCTTCACTCATTTTCATATTCGCGAGGCGGAAAGACTGGTCGGAACACTCTCCCGATAGATGACTTGACTCTAACGAGACTGTGATCACTAAGTAAGCTGTGATCGTGATCAATGAAATATTATCAGGCCAAACATGCGACGCTTTCCGATTCATACGACGCTATGCGACGCGTTCCCAATGCCCGTGCCATGCGAGGCTTCTGCAATTGTGACCATCGTTCTCTACATCCAATCATGCTCAGTCGTATGGGATAGATAAAGTGCTTGACGAACATGCTTATCGCATAAGACGCTGCCCGCCATCCCAGGACCGTCGATGCGTCGCCTGAAGACGTTGAATGCTACCATGGAATCAGTGACCATGTCCAATCAGAAATGTGACTGGACAAGCACGATCGGACCGTCCGTTTCTGCTGAAGTCTAATCGGGTGTACAGTAATACTCGACGATGTGTCTGCTGATGTAAGCTGTCATCTCGCGACGACCTAGAGTCGATGTTGCCATGGCTGAAAAGCGAATGCCTGATGAGATTTGTCCCCTCCTTGCTCTTTCATTCGGTGGCAGCCCCAAAACAACCCAGATTCACCCCCAGTTACGAACCAGCAACTTCCGCCTCCAATCAAATTCGATCTTTCGCTGCTTCCGAGATGTAGCCGCAAGCATTCTCACACTGTCGTTACCTGCTGTTACGTTTCGCCAGGCTCGCCAAGTTCCCCGGAGAAAGTTCTTTTGATGCAGAGCAGCAGCAAGCTAGCTAGCTGTCTTGTCACGTCAGCAATAACAGAAATCCGTTAGGCGAGACTGCCTGGCACTGAATTCGCATAGACTTCCAGCTAGTCTCACGCATACATCAACGATACTGAAGGAATCTATTAGAGAGCGTAGCGATAACGAGAGAGTTTGTGCTATGGGAATGATGTTGCGCCAGCAACTTGGTAGAGTTTCGGTAGCATTTGCCTCTAAGGACTTGGTGAGAATTGAAGTAGCATTTTGGACTTCACTAGGAACATAGAAAATTATATCAAACACACAAGCAACACAAACATATATAGGCAGGCGAGGGTTTCACAAGAGGTTGCGTGGGCGCTGCGAGTAACCCAACCCCACGAAAGTGGTGTGTGGGTGAGCGAACGCGCCTCGCCAATTTCCCAACCCAACTCAGCATCGACTTCTCGCTTCCGTGCACACCACTCCACCAACACAGCAAGGAGTGGTGCGACTCTCAAGGAAGCACCAACGACTCCCACGGACTCTCGCTTCTTCATGCGAACTCCTGCGCAGTTGCACATAGTCACACGTAGCCACACCCGACCTTCACTGAACTCATTCATCGGTGCCGAGTAGACTCAGTCGTTAGGCGTCGACCTGCCAAGTCAAAGTTGATCGAGGGCCCTTGCTGTTGTAGGGCCCTCTAACAGATACGTCAGACATCCTCCTAACTAATCTCTCTTCTGGCGCTCCAAAGAGCAGTACATCTGCCGCCTTGATCCTGATTGCGTTTCCAAATATCCCCAGCTATGAGCGCGGCGGCTAGTATGGCTAGACTGGCAGCGCACCGACGGCCGGAAAGCTTTCCGAGTCGTCACCGAAATCCGCCTTTGAATTTTGAATAATAATGAATTGGAACATTTCGAGGCTTACAGAGCCACACTAGAAAGACGGACCGCGGATTTCAAAGGTGGATGGTTCTTAGCTCGTGGTGCTTCCGCGACCGATAGTGAAGCCTTAGGTTCCGCATAAATTGGAAAACCACGCGATGCTGGCGAGAGCAGCGGCCTTGTGCAAGCAGAGAGGAGAGGGAAAAGGATCGGCGGGGGCACCATGCGTTGCGGCAGGTGGCGAGACTGGCGGGGACACATCAACATCGGCGGCGTTGGTGGCAGCAGTGGCGGCACCGGGGAGCCGGGGGAGGAGGGCAAGGGGCCGGTGAAAGGGGGTTGCTGGTGGGGCTGGCGGGCGATTGACATACTCGAAGTCTCCAAGGTGAGACACTAGGGGTGGATACGCGAGCGAGATTCACTCAAAGGTCTGGTGGGGAGAAAGGCGCCGAGAGGTGTGGAAGACATTTACACTTTCGGTGACGCAGTGAATTCTACGGGCGATGACTCTGCTCCGTACCCTGCGCCAGTGGCGTCTACGACGACAACACTGTTAGAAATGAAGTGGAAGAGCTTAGATGAAGGGTAAGGGAATAAAACGAAGTCTCACACAGTCCTTCATTCACACAGTCCTTTCTCACACAGTCTCACGCCCCTAAACTGGCGGTGAAGGGGGGGTGGAGAGGGGTTGAGTGAAGGGAGGGTGAGGCAAGGGGGACCGAGAGGAAAGGGGGTTGAAAAGGGGGCCGATGTGAAAGGTTGTGTGCGAGAGGATGGGGCAGAGAGGATGCACGGGGGAGGATGCACGTCGGGGGATGCGCAGGGGGGGGATGCGCAGGGGGGGAATGCGCGGGGGGGGGAATGCGCAGGGGCGGAATGCGCGGGGGGGGGAATGCGCGGGGGGGGGATGCACGTGGGAGCCATGAGCAGTCGCTGTGGCGCGAGGATTGTGTGAGAGTCACTCGAAGGTCTTTGAGGGGCTGCTGATGGGGTTTGCAGAGGCTAGGAAATGCTTTGGAGCTCCGAGGGCATTCTCTAAAATCCTCTAAAACACCCTGCAAATCTCCCTTCCCACCCATGTCCGATTCCGTTGTTCCCGCTCCTTCCCCACTCTCTCTTCCCACGCTCCCATCATCCATGACCCCTCCCGGCTCCAGATTTTCTCCGCTCCTGCTTATTTCTCACATCACACCCACTCAATCCCACTCGTACAGCCACACTGCTCGCAAAGGCACCACCTGAGGACCATCTCAAACTCTCCCCTTACACACACTCTTTGCCATTACCCGCTCCCCTTACACTTACTCCCTCCACCTTTTTTACCCACTCCCCCCCCCCCCCCTCTTACCCTTACTCCCTCTCCTTTCCCTTACTCTCCCTCCCCCTTCCCCTTACTCCCTTCCCCATCCGTTAACCCTATCCCTTTCCCTTATCCTCTCCCTCTTTCCTTAACTCCCTCCCTCTCCCCTTGCCTCCTTCCCCTTCCTTTACATCGTCTCCTCCCCTGACTTACTCCCCTTCCCCTTAAGCCCTATCTTTCTCCTTACCCACTCCCCCTCCCCTTCTCCTTACCCACCCCCCGTCCCTTCATCTCCTTCCCCTCCCCTACCCCTCCCCTGATCCCAATCGCCTACCACGACGCCAGGCTCTCTGCCATGGCCCGTCTCACCACTCGTCCCTGCTGAATATTGCAAGGGTTGGGCCTCCGATGTGCATGTGCAGCCATTACCACACCGCGCCTTGCTAGGGTGATGCCTCCCACGCGCCTCTGAAGCTTCGCCAGCCATTCTACTGCCAAAACGTGATTATTTCTCTCTCCCCCCCCTCCCCCGGGGCTGCGCGCCTGCGTCTCATGCAACCCCACTTGTCGCTAGCCTGCCGGAATCCTCATGCTACCCTTCAACACCATAGCGTTGCTCCCTCCCCTCCTTCCGTGCTTGCTCCCTCTTCCAACTCCCTCCTTTCCCACTCCTCCCCAACTCTCCAACCATACTTTCGTTAGATGTCTCATAAGTGATACACACATCGCACTGCTCCTTTCCCCTTATTTTCCCTCCTTTCTCCCCTACCATTTCCCTCTTTCCAGCTCAGCTAGCACCTGCTTCGCCTACACCCTCTTCTGGCCTGCTGCACGGACGGACTACGCCCCACAGGCACTATCTTCCGTACACCTTCATGGACCACTATGCTCTTCACTCTTGCTCCCCTCTCCCCTCTCCCTTTCCCCACTTTTTCCAGCTCCGCCCGTGCTTCTCCTACACCAGCTCCCTTCCCGCCCCATGTGTTCACCGTCTTGTGCCCCTACGGCGCGGGCGTACTGTTCACGGGCAACCTGCAGGCTGCTGACATGGCTGCGGCGGCGATGCGCGGGAGGTTCGGGGCTGCAGGGTGCTCCTTGGCAAGGAGGTGCATGGGGCGAGGAACCAAGTGGGTTGTGCTGGGTTACTGCTCACTGCCAGCCAGGTGAAGAAGGTGGGCGGGTCGTATGAGGAACATGGGCTACTTATGGGTCACCAATCAGGTCACTAGCAGGTGACTCTCAGATCACTGTCAGGTCTTTTCCAGGTGACTCGCAGGTCACTCTGACGTCACTCTCACATCACTCTCAGGTCGCTCTCACGTCCCTGTCAGGCGATTCTCAGGTGATTCAGCTGTGTGTTAGGT